CTCCGTTTTGGAGGTTGTATACGCACTGCCTATATTTTATTGATATCATTTGTGCTTTCGGAGCATGGGGCTGTCTGCATTTTCCATAACTTGCATGGAAAAGGACTACAGAAATTTGCAGGTTTTCAAAATTCCTGCTGTGATTTCAGATACGTGATTAAAAAATGGTACAAAATCGCAGTTGAAGCTCCGATTAATAAATATTTTGTTTCATTATTTCGGTGTTATTCTGGGCACGAGATTCCAGCCGCCCATACCAGCGAAATAGACGCACTCGTCACACAAAACCTTGTATTTCGATTGCCTTGTTCAGAGTTCAGTGGTCGATGACCCACCATATCTTCACGAACGGCGGCGGCAATTTATCCGTAGTAAGTAATAAGTGTTGGTCGCTACTGCTTATTATGACATGTTATCAATATTGAATAATCATCCAACTTTTCTGCTGAATTTTGAGCCTGTGTGGCCTGAGTCGTCTCCTTTTGTCGCCTCACGAAGGCTCGCAACCCCGTAAGCTAGATGGTCGCTAGACGGCATATTCGTTGCGGATAGCCGAGTCGGTACGCACTCAATTCTCATGGTCATGGAGATTGTGCTTGTCAAGTATGAATTATGCAAAGGTCTTAAGATAATACGTTTCAGCTTGTTCCCCTTTTTCCCATTTTTTGCCCAGTTTCTTGGCTTATGCTGTACCTTTTCATTGTAGTATGCTTGAAATCTGTAGAACATGTCTTCTTGAAGGTGGATGCCACTTTGACATACTTTCATTACCGCATTATGATATTCCATAGTGCGACAATGCAGCACATGACATGGAGGTGACAAGTGTTCAAATTGTGTCAAATTTGTTGAATGCTTACTATTCTTTTTAAGCAGGATTTTCTGTTCATATTAGTGGAGGCAAGACTGAAGTATTTATTTGCAGGCACAGCCCCATAGGATCATGCAGCACACTTTCAAGTGTAAATAAAATTTGCTATAGGGACCATATGATCTTTCTAGTCAGCTTGGTCCTAGGCCCACATCATCAAAGAAAATGTATTTATTGCTCCTTTTTATACCTTGTTAGGCATATTGTCTTGTCTGGGTTGTTGGCTGTGCAATCTTGTTACATTGGTCATTTCTTGTCAGGCAGGTAGGTATGCAGGCTACAGACACAACTTATGAATTCATTAAGACAAAATACCAAATTGTTCCCACAGCCCTGTGAATTTTGATCAAATTTTTGGTCCAATCATCAATTGTCTAGCAAAAACCTCTTGACTCAGGCGCAGGCCATAACTTTTGGGTCTCCTTCCTTGGCATGCTACATATGAAAAAAATACTCAGCATTGAAAGGTAAACAGCAATCTTTTATAGTTGTGACCATCATGTTGACCTGACTCATTGTACCCTTATCAATTATCTGGCAAAATTATATTATATTGGTACCCAGGTCACTGAGTTTAATTAAGGTAAATACTTATTCTTAGCAGTATTTCAAAGCTAAGATCATGCCAAAGAAGTATGATGTTAAAATTTTGAAAATTGGTGCCCTGTTTTCAAGCACTGATAATGGTCACAACATACAACATAGACTCAGTTGGCTGTTTTATCATAAATGACATCAAAAGTAGTCATGGGTATTTTATATCATTCATCAGTTATCTTTTACTGTACTCATAGGTAGCATAGAAGTTTGCAAAGCTAAAGGACAGATAGCTGTTTTCAGTTATTTCTGTGTAGTCAATGGCCATAAGGCCAATGCTGGCTTCTCCGAGGGGTTTGGGCTTAGCCTCTCCCTTCCCACCTCGTCTAACCAGCTCCTATACCCTTGGGCAGTGGCATATTGGATGCCTATGAAGATCTGTATTGCTGTGTGTGCAATAGCAATGCAAAAGCTGTGACTTCCCATGCCTTAGCTGTTAGGCATGCTGCACTTTTCTAATTGTGTGAATTATTTCATCAGTATGCTCACAAAATAGATACACTAAGCAACAAGCACAGATGGTTGCAGAAGAGCTGCAAGGCACTGCTGTAACTGCTGTATCGCTTTGTGGCAGCTTTTCTGATGAAAATATTGCTCTGAAAAGTAACCAGTGAACAGTAGCAGCTTGCTTTAATTGGACAATAATAACTGCTAGTTTTATATTCTGAGGATACAGGATACCTATGAAACATTGAGTACATTTCTTGATTTTAGGTTTTTTTCTTGTTGTATCTGTGTCCATTTCACTTATTTTAGCCTTTTGTCTGATTTCAGATGCCATTTTTACATATTATTATAGTCAATGTCTGTCTTGGGCATTTTTATGATGGGTAAATGTGCATGATTAGGTGGCAACTCATACCAGCAATCACCGTCATTTTGTTGACGATGCTTTCGTGAGAAGCTACATTCTGTTCCCCTTTTCCAGTTATTCATTTGTTTGGTTTGTTTGCCTTGTTTTATTCAAGTTTCATTCTTGTATGAAAATTTTAGGCAGGTAGTTACGATGCGTAAGACGTAAGTTGATGCAGTCAACTTTGCAGCTTTGCATGCAGTCAAGTTTACAAATTTCACTGACTCATCACAGAAATGAGAGTGAAGGGGTCACCAGCTGTGAATCCTGGGTGCATCACCCAGCCCACTTGTGCTCAGATGTGCCAGTTTTGTATTTCATGACACACTGCTGTCAGCAGCTGAGTATGCTTGGGAAATGATCTTAATAAAAGATGCTCTTCTCTGATTTTGAGCATGGCTGTCTGTTTATCACTGTATTCAATAATATTTGTAACTGGATGTGATGAAATGAAACAAAGCATGAGCACGTCCTGAAGTATTCATGCTGTCGCTTTTGGATGCTTGGAATCCCGGCCTAAACTGCATTGGCCATGTGCTAGCATGTGCCTGAAAGGGATGCAATATGTCATTTGACTGCACTGGCGTGTAAGGTGACCCAGCGAAGCCTGATCGTACCGATTCTCTTGGTCAAAGGTTTAAACAAAAATTGATGTGTGTCACTGACATCGGTGCTTCATGTTAGCCAATAGCCTGAGGATTATTTAATGTTGAATGTTATGCGATGGCAGCATTACCAACAGCGGAAGTTGGGTTAGTTCTCTGAGTTGTTTCTACAGCGAGTGCTGCGTGTTGACCGGCCGCTCGCTTGACTGGGCTAAGCTGGGGGCGTGCGGAGCTGTCGCTCTGTGTGCCCTCGGACCGGTGGAACGGTTTCCTAGCTGCGCGAGGGGTCACAGGTGGGGCACGAACGCGAACGGTTTTCAGCGCCTCACAGAGGTGAGCTGTCTCGTCGGCGCTTGTGGAGAGAGGGGTCTCGCCACGAGCTACCGAGCATCCACACCTTCTCTGTTAAAAATCAGGCTTTTTTGGAGGATTGGTAAAAGAGAAAGCACATTTACATGGAGGAAAATGCATAACATGGTTGTCGTCCGGAAATGTTCGTGTTGTGTCTTCTATTTGACTATCCTGCTCCATTTTCCCATTGTCGTGTAAGCATGGTAACTCCTGCAAAATAACCTGTAGAATAAACCCATTCGATCAGCTTGAAATTCCGCTGGAAGACCTGACCCACACACCGATTTTGGCCACGTTCTGGCCACGACGGGCCCACTGTGCGGCGTCGCCTCCACCTTCACGCGCACCTATCGATTTCTGCCGTTCCCGTGCCGGGCGGCCCGACTTATCTGGCGATGCCGCGTACCGAGCGCGTCGGTCGCCGCGGCCACAGTGAGCGGCAGTGGCGGCGTGGCGCCGGCCGCCCGCCCAAGTGTGGCCTGAGCTGGCCTGGCTTACGGGCTGGCCCTGCCGGGGGAGGGGCGGGACCGGCCGCAGCGCCGCGCGAGGGCTGATCGCTCCCGAGGTGCGCACCACCGACCCGCCGCCGGCACGTGGCGCTGACGGACCATGTCGAGGTTTCTGTTCGGCTACACGCGCGCCCGCCGGTCGCTAGCATGACACCGTGTAGTGTGTGGCGTGCGCTGTCACGAGGCCAAGGCGCTTGGTGAATCCCTGAGAAGCCGCCTGGGAGGCTTGTTCTTCTAGCGTGCAAGGCTGCTCACGGCTTATCTGTTTTAGCAGTTGTGCCGTCCTGCATGTGCTTGACTGTTGTTCCAGAATTTTGTGTGACAAATGCGTGTTGGAGTTGCCGCTCATTTCTGTACCCTCCGTAACAACATAATCGGTTTGACTTCACCAGTGGCACTTCACCAACAGGTGGTTCTCGCTGTGCTGCCAGGCGGCGTCTGCGGCTGGGCACTGCTGTGGTTACCGAAGTTTCCCGTCCATCTGAATCCGTCTCTAAGTCCGTCGGAATCCTGATATAACTTTTATTGAATCCTGATAACCTAATTTATCATTCGAGTGTAAGTTACATTTTCGTTACTGTGATGTTGTTGTCGGTGTGCGTGACTTCTCCGCCACTCGGCCTGACGGTTAGTGACATCATTGTGACGTACTTCATGGGGAGACCCGTCGTCAGCTCTGCCTGTAACCTGTGTATGACGTCACTCTCACGTGTCTGGCGGATGTTCTCCCACCGCGAGCCCCGTCTGCGAGCCGTGGCAGCGTGTGTCGCGTGTCGGACGTGTGACGTCACCGTCGCGTGCCTGCCGCAGGTGCTCTCCCGCCGTGAGCCCTGGCTGCGCTGGCCGCTCTCGCCACCCTGGATTCGGATCCAGGCCTGGGCTGGAAGGCAGCGCCGGGGCCGGAGGCGGTGCACCCCGGCCCGGGCACGCCCGGTTACGGCGCCGGCCTGGGCGGGCCGCAGTTTGTGCCGGCCGGGCCGGGCACGCCGCACTCGCAGAACAGCTTCACGCCGCCGGCCGTGCCGCCGCACTTCGCCAGCCCGGGCCACCCGGCGCCGGGCACGCCGTTCGCGGCGTCGCCGGTGCCGGCCGGCGGCCCGTCGCCGTACCCGACGCCGCCGGCCAGCGGGCCGCCGGCGTTCCCGGCCGTGTCGACGCCGGGGCCGCACCCGGGCGCGTTCAGCGGGCCGGCCGGCCTGCTGCACGGGCCGCCGATGGGCGGGCCGTTCGCACCGCTCGGGCCGCCGCACGGACCGCACCACCCGGCCTTCGGCGGACCGTTCCCGCCGCACGGCGGGCCGCCGTTCGGCCCGCAGCACATGGGCGGCCCCATGCACGGCCCCGGCGGCCCCATGGGGCCCGGCCACATGGGCCCTGGACACATGGGGCCCGACCGCATGGACCACGGGTGAGCAGACGGGCAGCGGCGGGGGGAGGGGGGACTCGGGCTGGTGAATCGGCCGGGTGGTTGACGTTGGTAGCGGCGGTGGCGGCGGCCGCGACTAACCTCGGGTCGTGTCAGCTGACCAGCTGTCTGGCCCTCTGTGGGTCCCGGCGCGTGAGAGTCCGGTGCCTCACCGTGCTCTCGCTACTGCGTCCCATCCCTTGTCATTCGCTGTAGTCACATCGGCTTTATGTGCATGGTGAGAGCTCCGGGATGGGAGAATTCCATTTGTATCCGCTCTGCAACGGAATCATGCGGTGTCACGTAAGGTACCCCGACTGCATGGGGCGCGGATATTGCTCGTTGGCCACGGGTATGAAACGTTGTAAATGAAGAAGCATGAGAGTGTGGTTACGATGCGAGCATTACTATTCATAGTCTTTTCCCACGGAAACCATGTTTGCGCTCATCCCGTTTGCCGCGTTTGCATATAAACCTTCCTGACACCGCGCGTTTGACACTCGTAAAGCGAGGCCGTCCTTCGGTTACAGACGACACACGCCCTACTTCAACCAGCCCGACTACAGGATCCACGAGCTGAACAAGCGGCTACAGCAGAAGTCTGAGGTAACGGCCGGGCCGGCTCGCGCCGCCACGCTGAGTGGCGCGTCTGCGGGTCGTCGCGCTGCTGAGCGGGTCAGGTCGCGTCCGACATCGGACTGCTCGGAGCCGCACGAGGCGCGGACCGGCGGCTCCACACGCGCTGCACGTGCGGAGCCTTTTGCGGCGGTCTGCACTGGTCGCGTATGGACTGGTCGGCTCCATCTGGGCTGGTGTCGTCTCCAGATCGCGCTGGGTGTATCTGTCGTCGTGGCCACCGCTTTGTCCTCTGCCCGTGTACTAGTGTATATATGTACGTGACGTGCCAGTCTGTGCGCTGGGATTTGGCCCGGGTTTTGCCGTTTCGGTGTTCTTAGTACCAAACACACCCGTTCCCCGAGGGGATACTTCGTTCTCCGCGAGGTCCTAAGTAACAACAACATTTCCAACCTACGAGACTTGCTGGGCTCCAGGACCAGGGCGTGCGAGCGATTGCGTAACTCTGACATCTTCCGTTTCAGGACAGCGACAGCCTGTGGTGGGACGCCTTCGCCACCGAGTTCTTCGAGGACGATGCCCACGCTCACCCTCACGTTCTGTTTGGAGGATGGACCCAAACGATACAGTACGTCGCGCGCCGGCCGGCTGCCAGCGTTTGTCCATTAGCCATGGGACGGGCTACAGGCCTTCGCCGGGCCTACCTTGCCGATGCGCTGTTGTCAGCAGCACTGGACAGGCAGTGCGCCTGTGAAATTGGGTTAGATCCAGTGTGCTCGGGGCACCCTCTCCTGATTTCTCTCACTCATCGGCAAAGCCGCCGCTAGCTTCGTCACGTGCTGGGCGTCAGCTCCTCCGCTGGTAATGGCCGCCGTCCGGTTGGGGCGGCCGCCGTTCGGGGCGCCTATCAGCAGGTCTCCGAAGGAGCGGACCAGAGTGCGGGCTGGGCTGGCTGGCGTGCCGCGCGTCCGCCGCCGCTCGGGGGCGCCTATCAGCAGGTCTCCGGAGGAGCGGACCAGAGTGTGGGGCTGGCTGGCTGGCTGGCTGGCGTGCAGCGCGTCCGCCGCCGCTCGGGGCGCCTGTCAGCAGGTCTCCGGAGGAGCGGACCAGAGTGCGGGCTGGCTGGCTGGCGTGCCCGCGCGTCCGCCACCGCTCGGGGCGCCTGTCAGCAGGTCTCCGGAGCAGCGGACCGGAGTGCGGGGCTGGCTGGCGTGCTGCGCGTCCGCCGCCGTCTGACCGCTGACCGCGCCTGCGCCGCAGCCATCGGCCCGCACGCTCATCCCGCGCTACTTTCGGAGCCATCTTCGAGGGCGGCGTGACGGAGCTGTACTTCAGCCTGCGCCACCCCAAGGAGTCGTTCCACACCACCAGCATCACGCTCGACTGCGACCAGGCCACCATGGTTACCCACCACGGCAAGCCGCTGCTGGCCAAGGTGAGACGCGCGCCGGCGTCCTCTGGCGGTGACGGGGCGCGGTCGCCACATGGTGCGCGGTGAAGTGTTGGATGGCGTGACTCACTGTGAAGATGACCCATTACTTCGGCCATCTGATGTCAGTCAAGGAATGACATGTGGTGTGCTCTAAGAACTGTCTTGATCCGGTCTGTGCAGGCAATAGATTCTGGTACTTTGTTATGGGCTCGTCTGCACTTTGCGGGCATCTTTTGATGAATTATGAACACGCTGGGGTCCATGTTAGGACTGGTCTTTTGGCTTAAAGTAACGGCTAGCTGAGTCTGTCCCCTGATGATCACTGGCTTTGCCCCGCCGGAGGAAGTCGCCGCCGTTCTCGCATAGCCCTGCGCCGTGGGCCGCTGCTCGCCGCGCGCTGTCGTCCGTCCGCCGGCCTCACCTGTCTACGCAGCCGGCGTGGTGTGGGCCCGGGCTGTGGGCCGGCCACAGACCTCTGCTGGCGGCTGTGCGGCGGGCTGTGTCGACGGGCTGTCCGAGCCGGACGACCGCGCCATCTGCGGCGGTCTCCCACCCTCTCACCCCCCCCCCCCCCCCCCTCTCTCGCTCAGGTGTGCACCGAGGGCCGCTTCATCGTCGAGTTCACCTTCGACGACCTGATGCGCATCAAGTCCGTGGCACTTCGCCACGCGCGGCGTCAAGGAGCTGATCCCGCGCTCGGTGCTAGCGCTGCACGCGCAGCAGGACCCCGGCCTGGCCGAGGCAGCTCGGCAAGAACATCACTCGCCAGGGCCTGACCAACGTCACGCTCAACTACCTGCGGGTTAGTGGACGGTCGCCCGTCTGTAGGCCATCAGCGGACCGTCGCTTGTCTCTGGACCGTCAGTGGGCGGTCGCGTGTCTGTGAGCGGTCAGTGAACGGTCGCCTGCCTGTGAACGGCAAGTGAACGGTCGCCTGTCTGTGGGCGATCAGTGGACGGTCGCCTGTCTGTGGGCCGTCAGTGGACGGTCGCCTGTCTGTGGGCCGTCAGTGGACGGTCGCCTGTCTTTGAGCGGTCAGTGGACGTTCGCCTGCCGGACGGTCGTCGACTGACGGGCTGTGAACCGCGGGGGCGTTGTCTGGCGCCGGCTTACCCAGTGCTGTGCATCGCATGCGACTCCTCGCAGTGCGGGGCGGGGCGCAGTACTGCTGTGTGTCGTCCTGTCGTCGAAGCAGCTGACGCCGCTTGTGCTCCACCGGCAGCTATGCGTCATCCCTGGAGCCGATGCAGGAGCTGATGACGCGCCACAAGGCGTCCTCGCTCCAGCCCGCGCGACGCCTCAAGACCACGCTCTTCCAGAGTGGCAGCGGATGGTTGGCTCCGCCAGGTCGGTGGGCATGAGGTGGGGAGGCGGCGCGTCTCCCCTTTCTCCCCCCGGGGTCTGCGGGTCCAGCTACTCCAAAACCACCCTCGCTTAAAAACTGGCTCAGGTGTCGCCACCCTGGTGGCGACGATGGAGGGTGCCGGTTAGTGCCGCCGGGGCCAGCCTTCCGGGGAAATGTATCGTTGTTTGTGCTGGTATTGGGGGGGGCTCGTCGCGCACCTGCCGGGGATATATAACGGGGGTTTCCGAAAGCAGGTTTGGTTTCATGTCAGCGCTAGGTAACATAAAAGCTCAAACAGTTGGGGCAGTGGCACCGCCAGGCCAGACCTCGTCGTGGCCGGAGCTGGCGCGTCTCGGCACTGTGACCAGATGGCGTCATCTAATCTCCAGTGTTTTTCGAGGCGGGCAGAGACGCGGCGCGCGCATGGCTAGCGGTTTATGCTTTGCTTTCCCGGACTAATCAGCTGTACACAGGCGGCGTGTGGAGGTTGACGACGTGCTGAGCTCTAATAGTCAACGACACCAAACGGCCAGTTTAGCTGAGAGCTGTCTCAAGGGGCTTTAGAGCACGGATGGCACGCTTGCACCAGGTTAGCCGGACCGGGTGGTTGAAATATGCTTGATTAAGTTTTCGAGAACAGCGCAAACAGTTTGCTACCGGACAGCTGAGCGTGTAGAGATTGAAAACGTGTGAAATATTATCAAGTTAAACAAATGTTTCAAGGCGATCAGACGATTGTTTAGGTTTGTGTCTTGTGCCAAGCTGTATTACTAAGGCGCAAGTTTCAACTCACTAGATGCTAAGTCTTGCTTTAACAATGGCCCCGCGGAGTGTCGAGCGGTGTGTCATCTGGTGAACTCCACTCGGACCGATATTGTATCTGGAGAATGGCCCGTCGGTGTTGGCGGTAGGTAATATTTGGAACTTGAACATCATTCAGGCGTCTCGCCACGGCCGGTTGCATAACGGGAGTTCTCCATAACGATTTGGATTCTGCGCGTTCGGCGACTTTCGTGGCGGTTCTCAGCGGCCAAGCCTGTGCCCAAGGACCAGCGAGTAGTTAAGTAGCATTTCTAGGAGCTTTGGTTGCAGCTTGCTCAGGCCTTCGGCACCTGATCAAGGAATAGGATCGTCGCTTTAGCCATCAATATTATATTTACGGGAGGGCTCACAGCCTCTGTAAGGTGCTCCGCAGGCAACAAACAATCCTAGGATTGGAATAGAGGCACAATAGGACTGAGAACGAAGCAATATGACGTTTGTAACCATACAGTTGCATTGGAGATTAATGGTGTTGGTTCTGATATGATCCTTTCGACCCAGCTATGCGATGAGTGACGGTTTTTGCGGTTGTATGCTCACCATAAGCCAGCAGGGGGGCTAACAGAAGACAACATTAAACCAGCCACTGTCGCCCGCAGAACGAGATACGCACGTTTCGTTTTTGAAATCCTGTGGCAGGCCTCTAGCCGGGTGATGGGGCGGGGGGCGCTGACCAAATTTGCGACTATTGAAAGGCTCCATCCCTGCGTTGTTTTGTTCGTTTTCTTTTGTTTCTTCGTTTTATCTTATCTTCCATGCCGATTTTGCTACGGCCCCGGCGCTAAGCCCGTGGGGCCATTTTACGATTTTCTTGTCATACGTGCCTGTTGGTGGCGTCGCTTGCCTGGCCACTGTCCATTTACTGGCTCGGCTCCGCCAGCGTGCGGGCCGTGTGCAGCGACCAGTTATGTGGTCAGAGTAAGGTGGGGCCGGACAGAGGTGGCGCTCTCTCCCGAGAGGCGGCCGTGGTGACGACCGCTTGAGGTCGACCGAGTGAGCCAGCCGCCGGCTGTATTAGGACCGCTCTCGCATATGTGGCCGCTGCTGGGTGTTCATGCGGCGGTTTTGGTTGCCGTTTTGTTTCGCTTTATTGATTTGCTCTTTTGTGTTTCGCCGTTTAGGTGGGCCAAACCACCCCCATAGCAAACCGGAAGGTATGTTGGGCTACTAAGCGCTGCCACGCGCTCGGCACAGGCACTAACCGCATGGGTGGAGGCACGGGCACGCGGAGCTCTGCGCGCCGGCGCTGCACGGCAGCGGCAGCGGCAGCGGCAGCTGGCCCCGCCCACACTGCTGGCTGCACAGCCGGGCCGGTGGCACTCGCCGTTCTGCATGAACCGATTCCTGTTGTGTTTTGCTGTTTCCGTGTGTTGCTGCGTTGTTACGCGCGCGCATGGGGAATAACGGTGGACTCGCGCGAACTGTCGTGCGTCAGGTTAGCGTGTCGCGGTGAACTGTGATTTGGCCAGACTCAGACCCCAGCCGTCAGCCCATGCTGGCGGTCGGTACTGCTGAGACCTGGCCTGGGAGCACCAGGGGAACCACGAGGGCTAATTTGAACTGCATTACCGACTTGATTAACATCATCTGTATCTGATTCAATATTGTCTCTGGTTTGTGCCGGCGGGGTTCGGTCCGTTTATTCCACTCAATTTTGCGTAATTTGTGCGGCGCCCAAGTCACCTACGGTAGCATGTACACCGAACACAGTGATCCCAGAACCGGACCAGAACGGTACCGCCAGCTTTCATCCCACAGCCAAGAACCTCGTCCCCATCCGCGTTGACCATCCTCCACCACCGAACCAGACACTGGCCGTCCCTGTCGCCGCGCTGACACCAGCCCCTCTTTCTCGCGTGTCCCCCATCCGGAGCCCGGCTGACGCCCCCCGTCCCCGGCCCGCAGAGAATCAGCGTCCGCCCAGCAAGCGGCGAAAACGGAAGGGCGCGGCGGGCGCGGCAGGCGCAGCCGCCGCCACCAAGAAGGGCCGACCGCCCTTCAACCTAGCCGGACAAGTCAGTGTAAGGCTCCCGCTCGTGGCTCGGCACCGTTCCGACCTCGTGTGTCGGAGATTTTCTATTCTGTTCGGGGCTTGGGTTTGTTGTGATGGAGCGTTGCTTGCGAGGATTCACTGTTCTGTTTTTAGTTAGGTTCTTTCGCTTATCTGGTTTTGCTCTTTTTGGTTAGCCTTAGATGGGCGCCTTTTTGTTTTCTCTTCCGTTCTTGGTCATAGTTGAGTTTTTATAGCAAGTCCGTTTTCTGTCATGGGTAGCCGGACGCTGATCCCTCGTTGCCTCTGTACATCACCTCCTGTATGCCGGGGGTCACGGCATCACTGGCAGTGGTGATGATGACGTGATAGGACGTTATGATTCATGAGGGGGCAGGTGGCCGGCGGTCATGACTGATTCCCTCGATGACGATGACTGGGATGCTGCTGGTCTTGATGGGTCGGGCCTTCGCTGATGGTCGCTGTCCGATGATGACGATGATGCCTCAGGATGTGATGGTGGTGGGCGAGCCGTCGCTGATGGGCGGCGAGTTCGGGGACGAAGACGA